CTTTCCCGGGATAGTGACCTCTTCCTCTGCTAAGGCTGATCTTACCCTAAAGGGCTCCTCTGCTAAGGCTCAGCCTGGCCTGAAGGGCTTTTATAGCAGTTTTCATCGACATAGTGAGAAAGGTAGTGGCGCCAAATTTGCGCCTTATGACGTCAAGTGGCGCCAGCGTCAAATTGGTTGCCATATTCGGGAGAACCCCGTATGCAGGTTTTCACCGATTCCGATGAAAAAAGTGGTAGCGCCAAAAAGTAATGCCATATTCGCGATCAGGGCCACGTTTTACCCCTTACTCGAAGTTTCAGTAAAAAAATAGAGTTTTTGGGGTAAGATTGTTCAACAGTGCCGATAAATAATCTAACAGCACAATGAAGAGAACTCTATATAGTTTTGAAACTTACAATCTATTAATGACGTGATCACGAAATCTTTGAGATGGCCAATCATCGTCCGCCATTCCCGCCAAAGTAGCTCAGAGTAGCAGAGAAGTAGGCCACCAGATCACGTAGGTATGAAATATTACCAATCTTCACACCTAAATTCTGGATAAAACCTGAGAAAAATTGATATTACAGCTATTACGACGAGCAAACTGAACATAGAATAACGAATTAATCCAATATAAAGTATGGATAAAAGACTGAACACATATCCGACAAATCAATTACTTTCAAATAAATATTTAATACTCACATGCAACATTTCAACAGACGAGGTCTTATTAGATTCAACGTGGAAACAAACAAGAATCAAAAAAGAGGGCGCCAATGTAGTTGGAGGGGGCACGCGTGGGCAGCACTAAAGCTGCTTGTCTACCCCTATCATCTAGATGTAATCTTCTCCCTCCCTCAGCTTGACCTCAAGAGAATGTCGACGATCTGAAACGCCGCGGCCAAGCCTTTCGCGCTCGCCGCCTTCCCAAAATACTTAGCGCAAAAATGAGACCAAATCTTTGGAGTTCACAGTTAATTCTTGACAACACGGCTTCTGACTGGGAATAATGGAACCCCGGAATGAACCAGACGCCACAGAGAGATAGCTGATTACAAAGCACCCCATACTGATGTGATAACAACGCCAATGACAGAAGACCCGCGTGAAAAACTGTCCCAGACAATTTACTTAAACAATGTCTCATCTTGACGCTTTTTAGGAACAAATGTCCCAGGTTTCTGCTGCGCATCGGGATGGTTGGCTAGTTCGAGGGGACATGATGATAGAGGTGATTCCAACAGGCATTGCTTCAAGTCGTAGAACACGGCGTTGTCATCCGGTGTGAGGAATGTGATGGACTTGCCTTGCTTCCCGGCACGACCTGAAGTAGAAAGTGTTTACCGTGGAGCAGGTTGGCAATGCCTTTCATCAAATCTATCATTAGAGGCATTGAAATAAATCAAAAAAGACGAATATCTTCAGTCCTGAAGGAGAGAACGAAGTATTTTTAGCGATTTATTTTGGGTTTGTGAGCGAATCGAGCATTTGTGATAAGTGATGGAAAATGTACGTAAACGTGTAATAAACGGGATAAACAAACTGGCGAACTGATGAAAACATCGGCCAGCTGGTGTGACCGTTACTTTCACAAGGCGAAACTGCGAACCCCATAGATAATAGCTAGCGGCGAGACGTAATGAAAGGGTACAAAGTGGGTTACAGGGCTCTCGTCAACCGGATATGCTCTCGCTGAGAGGGTCCGGAGGTATTTCTCGTAGCATCTATTAGTCCGGCAATTGAGGGAGAAGGCAAAGGAGGAGGGAAGAGGAGAAGGAAGGAAGAAAGGAGAAGAAAGAAGGAGGAAGAAGAAAAGGAAATACCCGGGAAAAAGCGCCGAGGGTCACTTGGGGCTTGGCTAGAGACTCAAGACTAATGGTCGAAATGTGTAACACATTCTGCACTGATATCTATTTCACGTGGTTGTCACATGTGGCCAAAGCATTCCGATATCTGCGCCTGACCAGTCACTCGTAATCGGTGAATCAACAAACCAAGGGTGTTTTCTAGAAATACAGCTGCGGAAAGCTTGGAACAAGTCACAAAATCGCCTTTCAAACAGTTTTGAAGCTCTCATTCAACAGAAATACAGTGGAAAGGTGAGCAGATAACGGGAGTTCAACGAGAGAAAAAAAAGACTATTTTGCGCTCTGAATTTAGTTTGCTTCCTGAAGAACTTGATGGGAGCCTTCATCATAGCCTTCATCATTCATAGACTCCACATGCGCCTCAGGAGTATCCACGGATATTCGGCTCCAAACTCCCCAGAATGATGGATCTGCTCACTCGTGTTGGTGCTCATCTTTCCTTTGACTCATGCTTCAAGTCATCTCAAAGGTGCCTGATGGGCCGAGGTGAAGGTTTCACTCGGTCATTTTGTCATCCTGGTGCTGGCTTTGGGTGCTGAAATCCGTTCCTCCAGGCATACCCTATCTATATCCACAATATTTCGGTACATAAATCAAGGAAAATCAGGGAATAAGTTGGTGGAAAATTTCAATTTTTTGGCTTATTCCAAGTTCTTTTTCCGCAGCGGTGAATTTTCCCGAATTTTTCTCATTACTGTGCAGGTCAACATTTTTTTGTTATTTTGCGTTTTGTCATCATAGATCAGTTCTAGTGAATTTGACGCATGATTTTGACAAAAGTATTGAGAAAATGCTTGTGGATAGCTATGAAAGGCGTCGAATCCCATGTGAAGGGTGGACAGGAAGGGGAGGGACAGGCAAGCTAGGGTCGACGAGAACGACAAAGGAAGAATGGTATGAGCTTTGTACGTCCAAAGTCTCTTTGAATACAGACAAAGGTACAGAGATATACCAAAAAAAAACTCGCTAAGGAACAAGAACCGGAGTAAATTCAGCTCACGAAAGCCACGACTCCTTCGTGGGGTCATGCGGCTACATAGAGAAGACAGCGTGCGACCGCGTAAATGTCACGCGGTGCGGAATGTGTAAGACAAGCAGACACATTACTAAGACTCTCAAAAACTTGCAACATCAAAAACAACCTAAAAACATCTCGACTTCAGAACCACATCAGCAGAAAACCTTCATAGCTCAACAGCAGAGCAGCGATCCAAGTATGAGAAAAGCAGCCACACTATCATCGGTTGATCATTTCGCTATTTAGTCCAGACAGGTTCGAAAAGACTTACTAGGACAGGTTTGCTGGACTTTGAATCGCATAACCTTCCTGGTGAATCCTCCTGGAACTACCACTATACCAAAACATTAGCCAACTTTTCATAACACTTTTCGTCAGAGAAAACTGCCGACCTTCGAGAGAATTCCATCCTGCCTTGATTTTGGCAGTAGCACCTACATTTCGATAGATTTCTCCAGTTTACAGTCACGTTCGCTGCAGATGAAGGGGCGTGTCAGAATGGGTTTGGCGAACGGCGCCAAACCATTTTTCCACTCGTTGTTGAGACGAGAAACCGACAAGGCTTCATCACATCGTTCGTATCAGTCGTCTTCTACCAACTGTTTCAACTTACCTGCTTCAACAACAGGTGGGAACGAGTTTAGCTCCACGCCAAATACACCCTCCCGGACATAGCCTTCTTCTGCAGCTAAGATGACCGTACTCACGACTCACGCTACTTCTCACCATGTAATCCTACTTGTATTTCCACGAAACCCTTTGCAGGAATCCTGAATTCTTCGTGGAGTTACCAAGCACTGAAACATCCATTGTTGAGCCGATGGAGGGGGTTGTATAGAAGATGCATTCGCTAGTCGGTATTGGCAGTGATTATCGACTCTTTACCAACCCTCTCTTCAGCCATGGTGAAGTCGCTCAGCCAAACATGAGAACCAAACATGAGAATAGCCGAAAATCAAAGTCATCGAACGAAATGAGACATGTTTGTTGGAATTCACCATCAGAAAAAAATGAGCAATGGCAATGAAGTGTGGGAGAGGAGAGATTTTTGATTCAGCAGCCATCTCTTGTTTGACCTTTCCCGTGAATTAATCGGTTTTAAGAATCTGTTGAATCTTCTCGTGGGTGTGGAGTCACTTATCTCGTGGGTGGATTTAGTCAATCCGATTACATACTTCGAAGGAATCCCTTTGTAACGATCGATAGTGACTGCTGGGTGCGCTGATTTATTAGCCACATTTCATAAAAAATATTTTACAACAAAACTGGACGCGGCTAGTCAGTTGTTTCGTTCATGGGCAAAATCGAAGGCAAACGAACGAGTATTACTGCTGGACAAGAAGTTAATGATAAGAAGTCAACGGGTGGCGAACGACGAGAACGCAGCAACGCTATTTGCTGTATGGTGGCCTGTGCCGTAAACAAGTCACCGCAGTGATGAATACGAGTTGAAAGAGGCTGCTACGAAAAAAAAAGTTCAAAAAAAGTTCACACTAAACGGCCTGCATGTTAAGTGGAAAGCGCTGTGCGGAACATTTCCTTTATCGCGTCCAAAATAGAGCGATTTCAGAAGCCAACGTGAAATAATTTCACCGACACTCACTCTCTACACACTATGTGGTCTCTCCCGCGCCCCGTCTTGTCCCGTGATGCCTTCCAGTGTGAATCAAGGAGCCAGTTTCAGCCATCTTTTAGCACCATACCTCCCCAATTTTCACGCGCACTCTTATAATCCTAGAAAACTAGGCGGCCCAAAGATAGCACTTATGTTGGAGATTCCAGCCAATTTCAGCTGAACAAATAAACTTCGAATATTTAGATTGATAGAACACGAACAGACAATTCAAAATCTGCTGCTTTCAATTGTTCATCAATATGGCAGGAAGCAAAAAATCGATTGGAACTTTTAGGTTGAGAGGATCAATCGATTCGAGTGGAGGAAATCGTATGCGCAAAACATCGGCACCGGCGCAAACCAAACCCGTTACCCCCTAAACTGAAGAGAAATGCGGTGAGCGTTTACGATCGATAAACATTCGACGGGATTTCTATCGATGCCACCTCTAAACGTTATCAATAGAAATAGTTTTTAGCTGAGAGTTGAAAAACCAGTTGGCAGGGGACATTCTTTAGCGATGCTAACCGCACCACAAAAGGGGTGCAAGGATCGATTAAACTCTGGAGAAAAATCGTCCTGAACAGATTAGAACCATCGCAATCAGGTTTGAGGGGACTAGTAAGGACTCGAGAGTGACGGGCGATTACAATCAGAGGGTTGGTTAGGAAGGCGTAAAATTGAATCTGGAAATGGCAGGCAGGAGAAATGAACACGAAAAAGCAGTAAGTCATGTGTACGAGTAACAGTAGCGATGGGGTAAAATGAGATGAGTGCGTGGACGACAGCCCCAGTCAGTCAGTCTTCCTGCTATCTCGCCAATCAATTCTAAATCAGACGAGATGATCGCGCACGTACGCAACGATCGCCCCGCCACGCTCACATTCTGTATCTTATCAACTTCTGCCTCCCACCGCCAACACATCGCACCCGACCCCTTTCGCCACTTTCATCCTGCGCTGATGCCACGTAGAAACACCCCTATGCACCCAGTGTTGAATCAATTATACTTGTTACAACCACGCAACCCCTATCACACAACATTCACAGTTTGTATTACACCTCAAGTGCACAAGGGCGAATGGTCAGCTGTGAAAGCATGGCCAAGGAAGACGAAAAAACTGGCTGGTGGTGGAGGAGAAAGCAGGCAACAGCAAGCTTGCCCTCTCTCGTTATCACTACCTTCCGCACTCAATCACAGTTGTTTAGTGACATCATATGGAAGGGGCAGCATATAACTGCTGTAAAAATTGCCAACTAGTAATGAACCGCGACACATACATTACTAATTCGTGAAAAAAGTTAAATGTGAAATAGCTTGAAGAATACAAGGTAAACATCATAAAGATCGGAACATTACGAAAGGCGCTTTCAGGCTAACGCCGTTTGGACACGCTCACTTTCGGCTGTCTAGATTACCAAATCCGCTGAAAACTTGTAATTTAACAGGGGTAATTTAACATCCTGATTACGAATATGACATTCACTCTTGGCGCTGGCGCTAATAGGATGTCACCACGATTATCTTCTGGGCTCAGCCTTAGCAGAGCGCAGATAATCGTAGTGTCATCCATTAGCGCCAGCGCCAAGAATGAATGTCATATTCGTAATCAGGATGTTAATTACCCCTGTGTACAAGTTTTCAGCGGATTTGGTAATCTAGGCACTTCAAAAATGAGCCTGCAGCCAAAAGCGGGCGGTCCAAACAAACGGCTTCAATCGCGCTTTTACACGGCACGTTGAAGTTCAGAAAAAAAACCTGCTAACCCTCCCCCCCCCCGGTAGGGTGAATGATCAGACTTGCAACTTCGGGTCCAGTCTACCCTACCTGCACCAGTTGGCACCTATTAAGATTGTTTATTCTTAGCGATCGCTGTGGAGGGTTTGCTGTG